ACTGTCCATTCATAATTCGCTAATGAACTCCATTAAATCTGAATTAATCGATTTATCATCGCTCTCGAGCTTTCCCCGTTGTTCTAAAAATGTAATATCATTTCGTTGATCAATGAATTATTTTAGGGATGAATTATAAACCGTCAGACAAAATTTTCAGATGACTGCTGAGAAGAATTGTGTATTTTTACGAGATACATGACGAGAATAGCTTTCGGTGGAATGAGGACATTCTTCTCGGAATAATTTCCGAATGGATTGAACAAATCGATCACTCCCACATGTGAAGCGGACGCAACAACCCGATAAATTCACCTCGAATATTCGTTTCGATTCCGTGACAAAGTTGGAATTCGATGGGAAGTCCGAAAGACATCTACGTCACAGGGCATTACACCCCAGACACGTGTAAATTCCATCTGAACCTACGACATACTGATGCATCGGTGAAGGACCTGAGAAAGAGAAGAAATGCCAGTGAAATTCACGAGACAGTTTTCACCATTCGATATCTCGACTTTTCGAGGTACAAAGGTTTATTGCCACACCCAGAAACCGGTAATCAATCGGTATTAATTCTCCACGTGAAAAAACTGGTTTTGACAAATCGAAGTACAAACACTTAATTACCCCTCACAATCAATGAAAACTCATTCATCTGCACTGAGGAGTCGCACCAGCCCCAAACAAATCTTTCAATTACCGGGAGTTTTAATACCATCAGCAAGCATCAACCTTTGATCCTTTTCATGGGGTATCTCGAAGTTGTCCGGTAAATTCCATCAAACTTGAAAATTGATTGAATTTGCGGTACCAATTGAAGTTTAAATCCCATCCCAGTGTTCTTTCATCCAAAACAATTCATTCACTTTCAAATCAATAAACTCGAGAGAGCGATTGAAACAATTTTGCAATCAATTGATTTTCCGTATCAAAGGTGTAATGAAGCACCTGGAGATAATAACCTCGAGTTATCGATAAATTTATGGTATTCATCGATGCAAATGATGAAATTGGGGATCGGTGAATGGAGACAGTACACATACCTGTGGAATCTCATGGTGGCACTGGGTCAGGGATCCCTGTGTTGGAAACACTGTGACCGGATGATGACGTCGCATTCATCAAGGGATACATCCCTGGTGTTCCTGGCCTTGGGGTATGCGGACTCAGAACTAATATCACCGCTTCCTATGGCAGACGTTTGCGTGTGATTGCATTTATGACCCTCGGGTACTGAATACTCGTAAATTACACACGGAATTGTTTCATTGGCATTTGTGAGTTGCCGGTTGATTTCTCGGGAAAGAGACTCTGAAAATTCGCCAGGGTATTTACATCACTTGGAAAATAATTGTGCAATGATTATATTTTAGCCTTTAAATAGAAAGAAGTTGAGATTTATGCAATTGAGTGGAGAATTTTCCCTGAACTGGAACAACATAATCCTTCCATCTAGCTTCAGCTTCAAAAACACTACAGCTATGAATTAATAACCCTTCGTCAGCCTCCAACAACAAGACGTTTGACATCAGGATTAAGACTAATGCATTCCCATTCGTATCCACTTCTAGTCACGTTGTTCCTCGTATTTGCTAAAAGCAGTGGTGGTGTGACTGACGGTTCGAGGCCAAACCCGAGTGGATCCAGTGTCTGGGTTGAAGTTAAGCCAACCGTTGTACCAAGGATAGCACCACCCATATTCACCGCATCCATCAACCACGGGGTGAAACTGAATTTTGCCGTGGGCGTTGGTAACAGGTACATCGGCATGAATGTAAAGGTGGAGAGATAAGTAGTACACGACGAAAACCGTTTGCCATCCCTTGGATGAGAGACACACTGTTAGTCACGGGATTCTAACAAATTGTTCCTACACGAGTATACCCTCTAGGCGAGTTGTCATTTTCGAGTGAACGTGACCGTGCGCACCAGGAATAGGATGTGGGTGTGAACGGGCCTTTGAGGATCAGTGTTTACCTACTGGGTGGCTTGGCAGACAGTATGTGCTGTACCGTCTCATTATCATAGACACTCAAACGACTACGGGGATTACTGTCAAGTGATTCTTGGATGGTAAATAGTAATTTGACTGGAAAGTTTACAGCAGGACATGTTCACGTTCATCAATTTTTTTTGGGATGATGCAGGAAAGCTAATCTCATCTTCATGAGCTGATCAGAGGCTGGAGAATCGCTGGATCAGACTGGGATAATCAAAGGATTTTGATTGCGGGCTAATGTGTAAAGGCAATTCGTCAACATCAAGTGGAGCCTTTCCTGGGTAAATATAGAAAATTGGAAGTACCTGACCAGGAGCCATGGTGCTCTCATGGTTTGGTGGAGTTTGTTCCCCGCACCTACCCACTTCCGGCTTCATGGTTTCGGACATAAATTGCAACTGGCTACGATCTTGCATTTAGCACCGGGGGTTCAGCAAGCATACGGTTGCCCTCACCAATTAATCACAGCATGACAAATCGCCTAGACCAATGCCTTTCGAGATTTCACCCGCGTGTCATTCGTAATCCGGTAATTGGCAACTTAAAATTTCCGGCGTAGAAATTGTAATCGGAATATTTTTTCAAAACTTTCAAAAAATTTCTGGAAAACTTTTCCGAATTTTTCTTTATTAAACAAAAAAATCGGAAAACAAAAGAATTTTATCTCGCGGAAAGGTTTTGACAAATTTTTCAAAAATTTGAATAGGATTATTTTTTTTATAATTTACATGGCGTTTTTTTTTTGAGAATATTAAAAATCAAAAAAGTGAGAAAACAACAGTATAATTAAAAAAAAAAATTATATTCGCAAAAATTTCTACAAAATGATAAAAAAAATTTTCCGAAACAAATGTTTGAAAAATTTTTCAAAACATTCCCAAAAATACAATTGTTTTGTCCCAATGTTTTTTTGTTTAAAAAAAAAATCTGAAAAGTTTTCCAGAAATTTTTTTTTCCCGGGAGGCTAGAGCTAACTTCTGGATTTTCTTCTGGTTTAGAAATACAGCGTTAATAGTTGAATAAATAATGTGCGGTTGTCATGGTAGATCATAACAATTGTTGGAATAATAATTGATATCGATATTGACAACGCCTAGTCCATTGCACCCAATATCCATTTTCCCCGCATTGGCGTTGGATTAATGAATATTCGATTCTCGGCAATTAAAACTCACATTTCAACAATTAGTTTCGCAATGCTGCACAGAACCCGAGAGGATGGATATGCCACTGTTCAAAGTAATCCTTCAAACGCACTCATGATAATAACGTTTGATTAGAAGTATTCGACCACAGCGATTCCCAAATCATGAAGAAGAATTACTCAAAGTAACACCGTTAAATACCCGGAATTAATTGCCTAGAGAAAAATATCCTGGAAAAATGCCCGCGAAATGAACTCTACCGAAGGATTTTGACGGGCTAATTAAATCCAGGAGCCTGAACGTGAAGTCAAACAAACATTGAGAATTTTCCGGATGGAAATAATTGCTGGGTGAGCCCTTTGAATACCATTTTCATCAGTCACCTGGAGCTCCAGTATCAGTTTTCCACCGTCGGTTAGTTCATTGAGCTCTGCTTTATATGCGTATTGCGACCGGTTGAATCGATTTAGACTTTATCACTCTTCTCACCAAAGCACCCACACCCTGACTTCGAATGTAAAGCAGCCTGTGACGTTTGGTCACGGTAAATTTTCCAATTCAAACAGTTATACATTGGCAACTGGCAAAGCGTCAAAGTGAAGGTAAAGAGGATGGACCGAGGGGATTTCAGGGGAAGTGTGAGTTCTAGCGTTCGTGTCACGCCGATTTGGGTTTCAACCACCCTTACATAACCAGTGCACCAACGCGCGTCCGTTTAATCAAAGACTTCCTGGATTGTTGGAGCAACCGCATCGTGCCCGCATTACTCTCAAGTGGCACCCACCCTACTTTACCACCCCCCTACACCCACCATCGCCCACTCCGACAAAACCACCCACTCAGGCCTGTAAACCCTCACCTCCACTGATGTTTACTCAATGTGTTTCCAACCCCCTCTATGCAACACCAGTGCTCAGCGAACACGCGTCGCATTTGGCCATTTCATAACAGCCGTTCCCCGCTATCTTTGTGACCAACGAGGGAGGTGAAATTGTATAAGGGCTCTTAACTCGACATTAACCAAGCCTTCAGCACCATTTATGACTGCCACTGGCACAGCTAACTGTTTCCGTTTAAGCACTTGTGGTTTGCAATAATATCTAACGGTTGAATTGCATTCTTCTGGTACTGGTGTTTGAAGGTATTGAATGCTGCTAGTTGAGTCCTCCTAACTTCATCCGGACTTCACGACTCAATTAGTGTCAAGAAAATTGTACAGCACTCATTCTAAAGTCAGGATTACAGATCAAGATTAATAGTAATCATCTCGGAACCAGAGGAGAACGAGATTTGGATGATGGGAATTGATTGGATTGATCTTCAGTTCGAGCCAGGATTAAACGAACGATTGTTATACTCGAGTGGATCTAACATCGATGCCCTTATGATTACTCATCGCAGAAAGAAAGGTGCATTAGCTAATCATTGATCGGTATTTACTCTGAATTCGCTGACAAGCAATTTCCCTAATTGCGTCCACTCAATCCCCTGAACCACCTTAAATCAATAACCTAATCCACGATTGATTCATATACACATGCACCAGCACTGGTACCCACAATTCGTTATAATAATATCTCTAGTAGATAGCGTGTGCATGCAATTAGCAATTAAAATCGTAGATTCGGTGGCTAGGGATTCAGGTGGATTGCAGTGGATGAAGCGGCAGTAGGGACCATGTGATAACATTGCCGTAGCATTTCGATATCGACCCTCGGATTATAATTACTATTTGTACCTAGTGATACATTATTAGGGAACTGATTTGCATGCTATCGTGTGTACCAGCGCTGAGGTACATACAGAAATATTTGCAATATTAATTATTTGTTGTTGCGTTGATGTTTACTCACATCGTTTTGAGCGAAAGTTGGAGTTATTGGTCCATCACTTGCTTCCCATTTGTCAGCAATGCGAATTGTCTCGGCTGTCTTCTGCTGAACCGATTTTGATTCGTCCAGCAGTGTCAGCTCGTAGAATTCTTGGATATCTGTAAGCAAATAGAATCATGGTATTATTCGGTTTTTTTGATTAAAGGCTTTCCTCCTGTCAGCAATGATTTTACGTTCTACCAACTTTTCCATCGAACCTCAAAATTCAATTAGCTGGAACAAAGACTTCCTTCACTTGCAGTGGAAATTAATTAAAATCCATGACATTTGAATTGAATCGTGTGAGTTTGAAAATTTAATGAAGTTTGTAACGATTGAAAATTATAATGCAGAGTTCATTTAATTTCACCTGCATCGGTTTCCACTGGAGTTTTCACGGATTTGAAATTTCATTTGCCATGTTTTTACATTTCTTTTATGGAGAGGATTTATTCAATTTGTTATTTACTCCACGATTGTTCGCAGGTCGAATTCCACTAATTAAATTATTCCACACTGTTGGAAAATTGAACTAGAATTTCCGAGTAATAAAATTGTAATCGGAATATTTTTTCCAAGTTTTAAAATAATTTCGGGAAAACTTTTCAGAAATTTTCTTTTGAAACAAAAAAAATCGGGGAATTAAACAATTGTATTTTTGGAAAATGTTTTTGTTAGAGCAAGTTTGAAATCTCGCGGTCAATTTGCATCACCAGAAATTACAATAGTTTGCCACATTTATCACTCGCATATTGGGCACACTGTTCTTGTCTAGATTGGAAAAAAGAGGGGTTTTATAGCAAAAATGGTGAATACAGTTTTGATGTAATCGAGAGTATCAAAATTGGAGCACGTGCAAGTGCAATCCAAGTATTATTCAATAAATATTGTGGAATCAAGTTTATAATTAAAATTGAAATGTTTATTAAGTAAAATCACGTGTGTCGACAAATTATTTCAAGGTTCCCCATAAATCTAACAGTTTTGAAAAATTTTTTGGAATTATAAAAAAATTTTCTAAATTATAAAAAAAATTTCCGATTCAAATTTCTGAAAATTTTTTCAAAACCTTTCCCAAAAATGAAATTATTTTGTTTTCCGATTTTTTTGTTCCATAAAAAAAATTTCTAAAAAGTTTTCCAAAAAATTCTTGACAATTCGAAAAAAATATTCCGATTACATTTTTTTTACCCGCGTTTCGAGTGAGAAACTTGAAATTTTGTATTGAAAATTTCATTACATTTCACCGCGAGTTTTTACGATGCCCATTGAAAATGAATCTCAATTGAATACGATAAACCAAAACCAAACGTCATTAATTTTCGACACAGAGCCCCTGAAATTTATCGCCGGAAACTTGTCAAAACAATAAATTGATAATACAAATACAGTAAACGCAAGAATCAGCGTCTCTAAGCCACTGATGCACTTCCAGGTATTCGGTACGAATGGGTAGTCCATAAAATGATGCTTTCTGTGAATACCGGAGTTTAATACTCAAATAACCGGAGGGCAATGGTAGCCAGGTTAACTCAGCTCCGGGTTTGGGTCATAAAGGTCACTATATCCGAGAATGTCGCGATAAGGGTAGAACATAATTTTCAATAGTTTAGACCGCAGTGAGGGGAGAATGGAGAAACTAGGACTCCAGTGCACACAGAGCTGAGGTGAATATATCATTCCACCTAGGACATGTCTACTGCAGGTCATGTGTGGACCTGGGGAACCCGTAACTCCTCGGTATACGAGGGAGAACATTCCGTGGTCTGGACTAGCGACTATTCGAGGATCTGTGTAAATATCAACAGAATTCTACGATGGATGCCCACCAAATTACCAAAACGATGGAGAATGAAAAATTATTGAAGACCCAGACTTTTCCGAATCCCGTGATTTTTCCTCCACTGGAATTCCCGGAATTCTGTGAATTAAATCTAAATTTTCTAATCGCATTCCTTTAATCCAATTAAGATCACCGTAGAACCGAATTATCATGCTGAAGTCTGGAGGACTCTGGAGACTAGTGGAAAATCATCTGCAATATGATAACTGCGAGACTTTTTAACTCGTGAAATTTGAACCGCAAAAACTATTGAAAACAAGAGGATTGAATAAACAATGAAAGCCCGGAGGCTTCACTCCATGCAATCCTGAAATCAATTTCATCTAGTGAAATAACTGTTGAATCAACGCCCATTCAAGCTCTAATCCCGTTTTGTCCAGAAATAATTGAAATGCGATTTGTCAATCTGTATTCTTATCCCATCATGAATTCAACACAATGAATACCTCATTTGCATCCAATTCGTTTGCCAATCATTTGCAAACGCTCAATCAGCTTGGAATTAGTCGAATCCTCGTCATTGAGGAAACCAAAATTTCAAAGCATCCTTTATGAATTTTGATAAGGTCAATTCAATTTTCGTGCTCCTGCGGCTCAACCCACTGCCAACAATCTCCTCAGAGACTAAATAACTCGTTAATAACCTCCGCTTAATTGTTACTCCAGGAGTCTCGTCAGGTGATGGTGAAACAGATCGATAATTGGAGAGTACTTTCACCCGAGTCTTTGATGTTAGAATATCGCGGGTAGAAGTCACACCGATTACAAAGTAAATCAAATCAAAATTGTCCGTTAATTATGAATAATTATCTGGCTGAAATTTCCAGGAAATTCATGTCACATTGACAGCCCATGATTGATCAATTATTGTCAAATGACAAATATATTCCTGACCTATAAAACATTACGGTAAAAATTACTTAATCATGATGAAATGGAAAATATTCACTCGTTTTATTTAATCAATTTTTCTCACTGATGAAATCAGCTTGACTGATTTCCATTTTCATTTTCTTATTCCACAGCTTTCGAAATTGTCCAAGACTACTTGAATCAATACTTAATCACTCTGGTGTAAGTTGGTGGAGCTTAAATCCATAATGAGGATATACAATCTCCAAAAGTTTCGAGTTACTCACTAGAGACGTACGAAAATGTGTTATGCTCTTGGGATACTAACGAACAACAATTCGAAGCAGTTGGAGAACTGCATTTCATCGATTTGTTGGCTACACCGAAGTTTCTTGGATGTCCTGAGGCATCTTGGAATACAGTAGCATACCTATATCGAAAAAGCCGTGAAACAAGAATATAAATCATGAGGAATACCAGTAAATTCGAATAATCCCGCGTACCCCATCAATTTTCAATTATAAAAATCGAATCGATCCGATAATTTTTAAACTACACCACTTGAATTCTCGCAATATCGACAAGCGGATATTTCAATCATGTCGATTATTAATATTTCATCAATCGATAAAATATTTTCCAACTACTTGAGACACCATCCATGAGAAAATTCATATAGATTATGTTTACCACGTCGATATATCCCATAAAATCTTGGCAATTTTCTTGTAGACACTCCGGTAGAAATTTCATCTCAGCCAATGTCTGGTTTTCTTATCTTTTGTCGCAGGTAGAAGAAAGATCATGTGTCTTTCGTGAATGTGAAACCAGCGGCTTATCAGGTTCACCCCGAGGATAACCCGAGAAATTTGTGGGGGTAAGGGAGTACATTACAATATTTATTGCTATCGATTCCGGTCATTTTATTTTTCATCCAATGAAACCGATAGGAATCCCATGCGCTTTGCTGGGAGAGTTTGACCGTCAGTATGACAACAGCAATGAAGGTAATTGCTGAGAAAAATATAAAAATCAATTGGTCTGAACTGAACTCATGTTTTTCCGCCCCAATCCTCATCTACTCTATCCCTTTCTCATTCCGAGGGCAGACGATTTATCGGATTGAATCGAGGTGAAAAAGTATGGGCTGCATCGACAGGAAGGTTTTTCCCAATTCAAGCATTGAACGCAATTACCTCGGGATGTGCAGAAAAATTAACGTTACAGCAGCAGCTGATGTGTTCTCATGGAAATTTAATCCGTTTTGCGCTCTTCCAGTTCAGCTCGAGGGCATTAAAAGGTATCTCGTTGCATTATTATCGATAATGATCACTTGATTAAATTCGAGAGCCCGATAGGTTCTATTGATACAATTCAGTTATGGATAGTATCACGATCGCGTTGGCTTTTCAATGAATATTATTTTTATTCAGTGACGTGAATTTACCAATGGTGAGGAATTATTAATAATCCGTTATATCAGTGATATATCTCGTTATCATGCAGTATCCTGACAACCGTTTGAAAAACTTGAAACCCATTTTACAGTATTTTCTCTGCGAATTTATACCATGAATATATTTTCAAGCCGCAGTCACGCGAGATTATTTGTAAGTGTTTCATGGAAGTTGCTGAGTTACTCAGAACTCACGAGTTTTCCCGGGAATTTTCACGCTGGAAGATATTCATCTAGTCATGATGAAAAAAAAATTATTTTCATAAAATAGACGAAATGAAAAAAAATTTATTTTCATCTCTCAATCAAATTGAAATTTTTTTTGGAGTGATTGAGAGGTCCGCTACTCAAAACTCACGAGTTTTCCCGAGAATTGAAAAAAAAAATTATTTTCCTCAATTTTCAAAAAAAAAAATATTTTTTTCGATCTTCGAAAAAAATGTATTTTTATGGATTTTCGAAAAAAAAATATTTTCATGCCTCAATTGAATCCAATATTTTTTTCGGACTGATTGAGGGGTCCGCTACTCAGAACTCACGAGTTTTTCCGGGAATGAAAAAAAAAAATTATTTTCTTCGATTTTCGAAAAAAATGTATTTTCATGGATTTTCAAAAAAAAATTTATTTTCATCCCTCAATTGAATTCAATCATTTTTTTTGGACTGATTGAGGGATCCGCTACTCAGAACTCACGATTTTTCCCGGGAATTTTCACACTGGAAGATATTCATCTAGCCATAATGAAGAAAAACCTATTTTCATCTCTCAATTAAATTCAATCCGCTGCCGCGGTTCGTTTTTATGCCGTTTAAAATTCTTATCGCGTCGGTTAGTCAGCGGAATTAAAAAACTATTTGGAATACGTCTCGGGGAAAGAAGGAGTTTTTTTTATGGCGTCAATGGTAGGTTTGTGGAGGCTTTTATAGGCGATTAAAAAATAAACATGAGGTTATGCTTCATGTTTGAA